ACACACACACACACACACACACACACACACACACACACACACACACACACACACACACACACACACACACACACACACACACGCAGATTTTGCGAAGAAGGATATGAGGGCAAAAAAGTGAGTCTTTTCATTCTCTGGGCTTGGGGGAAGGGGGAAGGAGTTGCCACCACTACCTAGTTTGGAAAGGTCTCTTTGCTTAGCTAAGTGGATGGCAGTGGCGAGGCTTGCTGGAGCAGCTGAACTTCAAGAGGGTGAAAGGTGCTTTTTTTGCTCTTAAATAATAGCTATTGTTGTTGTGCAACAGTGCAAGGGTCTTACTGTATTTGCAATGTGTTTGCTATTTTCCATGCTTTTCAGCCTCCATGGGGTGGGGGTTTGGAACCGATTCCCCATGGATACAGAGGTTCTACTGTATTCTAAAGAATGGACATACTGGAAATATCTTTTAAGAATTAAGGGTTCATTGGAACTGTCTAGGAATGGGAACACATGTCTCCTCTTAAGACTAGAATTGTTGGGGAACTACGTTAACAATTTGCTCAGGAATATTATATTTTTGAAAACAACCCAAAGTTGTAACCTTATCTCAGAAGCCTCCCTAGTAGATTCTAGTGAACACTATAAATAGTTGCAAATGTCAGTTCTATATATTTGCATAAGCTAAGTCTCTGTTATGAGAAATGGGTCCATCAATTTCTGTGATATTTAACTGGCACATTGATCAAAAACAAAATAAAAATAAAAATAACAAGGACAAAAAATGGCACCTTAAAGACTGCTTTGTTCTAAGGTGAGCCATAGAGATTACGTATAGTAGTTAGAATATAGCAGTTAGCCTTTAAGGAGCCGTAACATCTTTGCCTTCTTTATTTTATATTTTTCTTTTGTTTTCGCTTGATAGGCTAGCACAGAGTAACAGGCTAGCACCAACTGACATGGTTACCTCTTCTAAAACACTGCTGGGCACAAAACACTGTGGATTTCTTCTTACTGACATATGCTATACTAAAAATAAACAAGTACCAAGTTGTGCAACTGTACCTCAATATGAGGGAACTGCTCTGTATAGAGATCCAAGTAAAATGAATAAATGTAAGCCATATCACACAGCATCATTGGCAAATGCCTCTAAAGAACTATCTGTATGCAATGTAGTTGTCAGCACGCAGAATCTCGTTCTGTTCAGCAAACAGCAATATCAGAAAATATTTTCAACATGGTTATTAGAAAAAGAAAACAAAACAAAAAGCAGATGAACAAACATTTATGAAATCACAGAGTATCCAGTTGCATTACAGACATATTATAGCTTCCTCCAAATAAACCACAGTATTTCGTCTGTTCTTAATGGAAACAATTTTTGCCTCATTAATAGTTACAAAAAGAGGAAACTATTAATTCAACTAAGACAGAACATTAAACTACGTTTATGAGAATGTGCAACTCAGAAATCCTTGGTCTCATTTCTCTTTTCCTTCTCTTCCTTTACAAATCTAGGGAGAGAACCAAAATTTTCCACATTCATTTCTACATAAGCAACACCATATTTGAAATCAGGCAATTATTTATTTTTTCCCCACGCTGGGGGGGGGGGGGGGAGTATGAAATCAGTGTAATTCAGATTTGTTTAAACTATCCAATATTAAAATAAATCTGTTTCCTCAATTCAGAAATAATGGGAAATGGTGATGTATGTTTTAAAAAAAAAATCAGAAGAGGAAGACGTCAATCACATTCAGTGAAGGTGGAGGAAAGAAAAGAGTCTGAGTACCAATCTATTGAGGTAAGGATAAATACTGTGGTATGGCATTCCTGCTGAATCAGTGTTTTCACATGGAAGGGACTAATATCAAAGCTGAAAATATAGGTCCAAAATATGTGAGGGGGGAAATCCTCCCAGAATTTCAGCAGGAAGAATTACGGAGGGATGTTTCCAAATTCAGGGGTGCAAAGAACTTTAACCTATTCGAGAATGGAGCGGGAGAAGAAATTGATTACCGTCTGCCTCATCCCATCCCCCCAGAATACAAATACCTTAGGAACAAATTTATTTTCTTTTTTTATTTTGGTTTAAAAATCCAGAATAGAAGCAAATAGAGCAACCATTCTCAATCTTTTTTTTTTTTTTTTTGGCCATGGCCATAAACACAATATTAAACAAGGCTGATTTAGGATTGTGTAAGTCACATAACAAACCTTATAAAGTAGTGTTTAAAGAATTGTTTCCAGTCTGTGGCCCTCCTTAAAATGTGCCAGGAGCCCCAAGGGGGCAAATGTACCCTCCTGGGAATGGCTAGTCTCATGAAATCTGCATTGCCTATTAAGATGATATAATTTTAGACAAAGTTGAAAGACTAGCAAAGGAGTAAAGAAGTATAAGCCCAGTGACAACAATGACACCAGGCAGACAACATTTTGTTGTTGTAACCAATGTGTTCGGCAATGTAGTATAAAAATTTGTTCTTATATGAAAAGTGAGGTGTAGTGTGAACTATTTACCTAATCCCACGCATCTGTTCTATATCTACCTATTTACAACGGCTAAGTGACTTCTCTGTGCTGAGCGCTGGACAGCTCAGTTTAGGTATCTGGAGGCACAGCCAGAGGTTGGGAGTTCAATTCCCACTGTGCCTCTTGCATGTACAGCCAGCCTGTTTGGTCTTGGAAAAGGAGCACAGTCTCAGGATGCTCCCAGAAGAAGGGAATGGTAAACCACTTCTGAGTATTCTCTACCTGGACAAACCCTGAAAAGGGCTGCCATAAATCAGAATTTACTTGATAGCACACAATTATTATTTAACAAAAACAGATGCATGATGTCCAATTTTGTACTGTGAAAATCAACAGTACAACTCACCTTGTACTTCCTGACACAATAAATATTGGTGTATTTTTATACTATCTTCTCTGACAGTGGTGTGTAGGAGGTGATATGTTCAGATATAAGGATTCTACCATATCCCACAGGGAAACATTAAAATAAATAAATAAAAGATGGCAACACTTTCACTGACATATCGCAGGTCATGTGTTGACATCAAGACAAGAAACAAAACTATTCGGGAAAGTGACGCACAAGCCAGCCACTAAAATTTAGGCCATTGTATCACAATAATTTATAATCTGCCTATTAAAAAGCTTTAAATACTTAAAATAAATTGAAACTTCTACATCAAAACTCTTAAAAATTTAAAATGCAATATTTAAATAGGCCATTTATTTCAGCTGCCCCATTCAAGGGGTTGATTGACTGGCTCTCGCCATAGAACAAAAAGAGCTGAATAACTGCTTAATAATTCATCTATTTGCATGTTCTACTCCAAAACCAAAGAGGGCAATGCACATGTTTAAAATGTTGCCTGAATCTGTGTACTTAATAACTCTGGCACCTATTCCAGCTATTTGGACTTGTACTCATGAAGACCGCCTCCACACATACATATACATACACATATACAGTTTGTAACAACTATGCAGTATTTACAGTCTTCATCATGACAAATTGTTTGTGGGGTGTTTTTTTGGTAATTCAAGACAAATGTTCAGATTCTGAAAATATACCATGAACTATTCCTTCTATATAAAGCTACTGTCTCGCATATTAAAGAAAGTGCTGTTTACATTTGCTGTGTCACTATAATTAATAATATGCTCCTGTTCTAAGCCCCATTCCCCTTCATCTTCCTCATCCAGTTCAGCTTCAGACATACCGCGAGTATTCTCGTACAAAAAGATCTGTTCATCTACATGCGCTGGGGCTAAACGATTTCTTTTAGCACTAACAACATTAGCAGAAGAACCAAACAGACGCTCCGGGAAAACTCTTGTAGCCACAATGCACCAGTATTTCTGAAGCACCTTTGGCAAAACAGGGAATAAAGCTAGTCTGTCAGACCACCACTTGAGCGGATCCTCATTTAGTCCAAGAACTTTCTGTGACTTGAAATTGCTCAACTCCTCAATAATCTGAGCATGCCATTCCTCTTGGTCTTCCACACCTCCTGTTTGGCAAAAGATTTCTGCTAGCATGTTATTTATGGTACTTGCAGGAGGTGGAGTAGAAGAAATTGCAAGCTTTTTCACTGGTGGCTCTTCGGACACTGCAAAAAACGGATCTTCTGGCCTCGGTGTGTTGTCTTTTACTTTCTCTAGGAGACCTTTTGCTTCTTCTACCACTCTGTTTTCAACCTGCTGCCTCTCAAATGCTGAAAGAAAGGGCAGCTTCTTGTACCTTGGGTCCAAGAAAGTTGCAACATTGAGAAACATGCCTATCTCAGGAGTATGCTGGTATGTGGTAGACAATTCTTTGGCTATTACTTCTTTTGCCATACTGATTTCTTTCAAGTCATTTTCTTTGACAGTCAATGTTGTGTTCAACAGCATGTGAAGGAGGGGTTTCACCATGCTGATGGTTGGATACTTGGAAGCAGACAGCATCTCAGCAACCTGCTTAAAAGGCTGGAGCAAGTCCACCAGGCCTTCAATCGTATTCCATTCACTGGCTTCCAGCATGAGGTGGTGGTTATTGCTGTCTTCCACAAGAACGGCGGCAATAGCGAACTGCTGCTCTTTAAGACGCTGCAACATGGCAAGTGTGCTTCCCCACCAGGAAACACGATCACTCACAAGCATGCAGTGCAAAATGTTGTGCTGTTTCTGTTTCTCACCCAACATGTACATGGCCACTGAAGACTGCTGAAAATATTCCACCAGTTTTCGACATCGGGACAGAACACCATGCAACTTGGGAAGCTGGAAAGCTTGTTGTATTCCCACATTAAACGTCTGACCCAAGCAAGGCATCTGTACTGGAATGTCCAGAAGGGAGCAAGCTTTGACTATGTCTTTCCCATAATCTGTTGTTGCACCAAAAACTTTTGTATTGATTCCCCATCCGATGAATATCTCATAAAGGACTCTTGTAATCGTTTCTGCGGTGTTTTCCTCGGGCACTTCAAATGTTTTTAAACACCGGGAATTAACAGCCAGGAAGGTGGAAGAGCCATTATTCAGAAAATGAACTGACAGCGTTACGTAGGATCTATTCTGGTTCTCGCTCTTCCACATATCAATGGATATGCCACACCACAGGATGTCAGTCAGCTCTTTCAACACATTTTCCCTAACAGCAATGTATTTTTCAGGTATCGCTTTTGAGCAGAAGTACTTTCGGCAAGGAAGTTCATACCTGGGGTCAGCTACTCTTAAGAGATTCTTGAAGGTGGGCTCATCTATTATCGAAGGAGGATATAAACCCTCACATATTAAGCTGACCACAGCTGATGTCAGTTCCTGATGCTTTTTATTCTCGTAACTGTGTCCTGTTTTCATAATCAAGGTGTCCTGAACAACCTGCTGAGACGATTCTGGTTTCAATTTTGAAAATGCAGTTGCAAATGCCTCCCTCATTTGCTCAGTATTGCTTTTCACAAATTCACAAAATTCATCTGGATGATTCTTTTCAAGGTGATAAGAGAGGTTGGATGTATTTCCCGAATAAGCAATCTGAGCCATGCAAATGCGGCAGTAGATTTTCTTCCACTGTAATATGCATCCTTCTGCATTGGTATCAAAACCAAAGTACTTCCACACTTTGCTCTTTGCTCTTGGATGAGCCACTAACTTTAGGTCTGATGGGGAAGTTTCCAGACTTTTATTCTCCATTGCTTCTTGGCCAGTGTCCCAATCTTTTGATTCTTCACTCATTAACGAGCACCTGATAAAAGGCAGCAGATAAACACAAATGAGAAAGCTTAGGTCTGACAACTATGCGAGTTCACTGAGTCTCAGCACAAACACAACCTACAGTGCCTGGTATATAATAATATTACAATGTGTCTGAGAATGGAGGATAGCCTTACACTCTCTTTGGAAAAGGAACACCCAACACTATACACAGATGTGGAGCTGTAGCAATTCAAGCAGCAGTCTAAGAAACTTGACCAGAATTAAAAGTTGTATTTTATGATAGTAGAAGTGTAATAACAGACAAATCTTCAGTTGCACAATCTTAGTTTGAGTTTAGGATCGGCTTCCATCCAGCAAAGAATTTGTGCCATTTGAACATCAAGGACACATTATAATTTTGCAGTATGAATACATTTTGGCTAGTCTTGGTATTCAGCCAGAATCTGTGTCTGCCATAATCTTGTCCTCCCACCCTTAGTGGATTTCTGAAGTACAGTGTTGCATCAGAGATTATCCCAGATTATATCTCTTGCTCAAAGCTGAGGAGGTGTAAGGATTCACTGATCTCAAACTGAGCTTTAGAAACACTTCACTGGCTTCCAAGCACCATGTGCCTCCATGTACAACTCTACAGTCTCCTCCGCTGCTACGGGGAAGGCTGAGGTATACTGTAGTATGTTCACCAGTAAAAGGGGCAATGCTGAACATGGCATGTGAATTCTGGAGTTTCTGAAAATATCTGAAACCCTGTTAGTTCTCCTTGTTCCACTCTTTGAAGCTATCAATACAGTGCAATTTGTTAACATGGGAAGCCACACAAATAAACATTTCTGTTGGCTACTAATTTGCACAGATATATTAAGTATTGTATGGACTCAAATATCACCCTATTTTACACTCCAGAGGATTAAGCAAGAATGGGGAACTTTTGGCACTGTTATCTGGGATTGCATTCTGTTATCACTAGCCATGCTTCTGGGAACTAAAATCCCAAAATGTCTGCAGGGGCCAACCTGGCTTTTTGATTTGGTTTGCCAACCTATTTGCCAAATGAGAGTTTTATTTATTAAAATATTATTATGTCCTTGAATGAGATCACCAGCAGAGTTGCCAAACCCAAGACCTAAAAGCTGCAGCCAAAATACTATAGAAATTTATGGCCGCAGTAATGTCATATTAACCCCGTGCAGCAAGTGTTCTCCACTCATTCCCTAGAAGACCGCATATAACTTAGGAGTTACTATCTTTGCGCAAACAGGTATTTTTGCAATATTTAAAGATACTTAAAAATTTTTGTTGTTGTTTTTGTTTTAAGACCAAATTTAGATTGATGAGGTTGTGTTGCTTTTTTAGTGTACATGAAATTAAGGCCAGCATCCTGTTCACCATTCTCACACACACACAAGAAGCTCTGACGGTAGAAGCTGCCATGGCTATCACCCAAGGTACTAGTCACATGAGATCTGGCATGTGACTGGCATTTCATCAGATTGCTATGACAGCTTCTATGGTTGGAGTGCCTCACATGTAGACATTGAACAAGATATGGCCTAAAGGTTATGCTACATTTACTGTGATCCTAAACGTTGACCGCATTTTAGGACTGCAATTTTACAAAGCTGTGAAAACACAAGGCACGACTATTATAAATAGCAAGAAGAGATTTCAAAGCATTTGCTTTATCTAAACCACAACTAAACAAGCTAATTAAAAAGTAGCAATCTATTAAATTTGTTTGCCCATTCAGCCCTATAAACTGATATAATAGTTCCAAAGATACTTCTGCATACAATTCTCTGCTATATATATGCGTAACTGTGAGAATGTAACCAATATAATCAAAGGAAATAATTCACACTTTCTCATTTATTTCAGTGGGATTTCTCATTTCCTAATGAGTTAGTAACAATATTTTTCTTTCTTTCTTAAACTGGACATCTTATAAATCAAAGATTTTGGGAATCAGGAAAGAAAGGGGTATAGTTCATAGTCATACTAAGCACTGCTGTCTCTCAAGTTTAACAGGGCCTTAGTTAGGCAAATGGCTAAATCCAGTATTAACCTCAAAATGAGCAGATCTACTGAAATCAGTGGGACTTACAAAAGAGGTAAGAAGAATAAGTCCCATTAGAGGCTTAGCCTAAAGAAAGATAAATAGATCCAACAAATAACAGGAAGAAAACATCAAGCAAATCGAAACAAAAACAAAAAATATCTCTAAAACCTTTTATTATTTTGCATTTCACTGTCCAATATGTAAAAGGAAGAAGAAGGATAAGCAGGGTAAATTGGATTACCTCCTAGAGCTTTTTTTCTAGATCAAAAGATCCAGCTTCACCATCTAGGGATCTATGGAGCCTTGCATCTAGAACTGGCAACATTATTAGTAACTGTTTGCTGCCAATAATGAGGCCATTAATCTGTTGAACATTTTCAAGAAGAGCTGCAATCACACTGCATTAATACATGGATCAAGAGGCAAGGTATGAAGCACTACCCTGTTTCCCCAAAAATAAGACCTAACCTGAAAATAAGCCCTAGTATGATTTTTCAGGATGCTTGTAATAGAAGCCCTACCCCAAAAATAAGCCCCAGTTAAATGAAACCCCACCCTCTGCCACTGTGCAGCTACCGCTTGTAATAGAAGCCCTACCCCAAAAATAGATTGTTGTACATGAAGGAAAAAAAATCCCCTGAAAATAAGCCCTAATGTGTGTGTGTGTGTGTTTTTTTTTTGTTTGTTTGTTTTTTTTTGGAGCAAAAATTAATATAAGACCTTATCTTGGTTTTGGGGAAACACGGTAGATGCACTTTTAAACTTGCTTTTCTTAAAGTTAATTATCAGCAGGGCTGTGCTGACACTTCAGAAATGAATAGGTTGGGACAAACCTCCAGAACTCACAGGTCAGCAGTTCCCTTTAGTCCTTATTGTACCAGTACCATGTTTTTTATTTTATTTTTAGGAAGGGGTACAAGGGATAAAAAAAGGGGGAGAGAAGGAGAACATAAGATATATTTATCATCAAATCTTACTGTTCGTGTTACAATGTCTAATCAGCTTTCCAAATTTTCTATAGTTTAATTGCCCTTCTAGATTTCTGCTTGTAGTTACCTATTAGTTTAGATATATGTTTATGAAGTTCGATCTACTGACTCAAACCTTTTGTATAATACGTAGATCCCACCTTTTAATATCCCAGATCTTTTCCAAGAGCTCCTTTTGTTTTTGGTACTGTATCTCCGGTTTCTTCCCATTCTTAGCATACAGAATTATATGCTGTAACTATATGTATAACTAAGTAAATCTTTGTCTTTTCTATATTGTCAGGTATAACGTTCAGTAGAAACAATTCTGGATTCGAAGGAATATTACAAAGCAGTATTTTTTGCAACAAAGTATGCACTGCTATCCAGTACTACTTCACTTCTCTACAAGTCCACATGTGGTAAAAACTTCCCTCTTGTGATTTACACTTCCAACATATATTTGATACCTCTGTATAGATCTTTGATAATTTTTTGGAGCCATGTACCATCTATAAAACATCTTATATATGTTCTCCTTAAAGTTTACCGATTTTGTGAGCTTTATATTAGTTTTTCATATCTGCAAGCCAATGGTCAGTATCAATAGCATAGCCTATATTTTGTGTCCGCTCGATCATATATTCTTTTACAATCTCATCTTGCATTTTAATTTCGAGCAAGTAATCATACGTTTTCTTGATTACCTTCTCATTGCATTTTAATTTCAAGCAAGTAATCATACTTTTTCATGATTTCCTTCTCAGTTGAGCCCAACAAAATTTTATCAAATACCATCTGTTCTGTATAGAAGCCTTCTATTTTATCTTTTGTATACCTGGACTCCATTTGTGCTCGTTACTGTATCAGCACCATGGTTGGAAAATTCTAATATAGGGCAGGTACATGAATACAAGCTCCCTCTGGTTCACACCATCCACAAAAACTACAGCTGCATAAACAGCACCAGTCAAAACTATCCATTTTATGAAGCATTTAAAGTGAGACTGGTGTGAAACAGAAGGCGAGAGGGATACCCCACTTGCTAGAGAGCCATCCCTCCTCCACAACGAGGATAAGGAGGCAAGACCCCAACCAGCACCCAAGCCAACGGAGAGAGCTCAGCAAGGGACAGTGATATAGGAACTGAGTGAAAGAATGCAGAAAACAACGATGGAAGAGGTCCAGGAGGAAAAGGCGGGAACAGAGAGGACAAAGAGGGTGGAGTTTGAGGCAGGAATAGGGGAGGTAAAAAGGAAGGAAGGGCAGTTGCCGACAGGCTGGGAATGGGTGTGAATGGAGGATCCCTGGACTGGATCATGGGAAAAGTTAAGAGTGCCTATGGAAGAGGCGGACTATAGAAGGAGAGGGGAGATCCCACCCAGAGCCTCACCCTAAGGAGGAGGCGGACTATAGAAGGAGAGGGCAGATCCCACCCAGACCCTCATATTGGGGAGAAGCTGAAGCAATAGAGTGGAGAAGGAGAATAAGAGAGGAAAAGGAGAGAGTTCAGAGGGAAAGGAAGGAAAGACTGGAAAGGAGGATAAGAGAGATGAGGAGAAAGAGTTACAGGGGATGGAATGGAGGATAAGAGAGATGAGGAGAAAAAGCTACGGGGGGACCCTGGGAGAATCGAGACCCAGAGAAACAAACCCTGTGGATTGGTGCCGAGGATGACAAGGCAGTGCCCCTGCTGGAAGGTTCAACGGGGCAGACCATAAGAGACTGGGTTCCTTCGGATTTGCCAGGACCATGGAACGCTAGTCATGGGAATCCATTCATGTTCAAAGAGTGGAAACCCTTTCGGGACCCGTTGGCAGAAGGAGATGAACTTAAAGATCATGTTATGGACACTCGTTTAATGTTACATACACCAATAAATCTTTCACCTCTTTCAAAGCAACAAAAATCTACTAGTTTCTTTGAGTCGAACATGGAGCCCAAAACCGAACCCTCACAACTGGGTAACCTGTTCAGTAATGGATATACCATTAAACAAATAAC